ATGACGTTCAAGTGAGCGTTCTGCAATGCGCGAAAGCATTAAAAAACCCGAAGTTGTTTAGACCGGAGTTAACCTATGGATACCAGGCGGAAATCGGGGCCAAACCGCCCAGGCAGCTCCAGTTGTTTCTGCTGCTCGAGCAGCAGCTGCAGGCCGAGAAAGAAGTCATCGAGCTGATCCGGGACTTTTAAAATCATGTAAAGTCTGTCCGAAGTCAGTTGAAGTAAGAAGGAAGTTAGCAGCTTTCATCCATTGTGCAGATTTCCGAACTTCTACTGCTTCGGGCGCATGAAATGGCCTTTTCCAAGCTGGACGTGTCGGTGTTCAATCGGGAGCAAAACCAGGAGTTCCGCAACGGTTCTATCTCTATGTCCGCATTTTTTTACCATCGCTAACTTTTTTCGTTGGGATGCTTTGTTTAGGAGAAAATAATGGAAGCAGGAGAAATCGGCCGAGATCCCGAATGCCGATGGCTTTTGACCAGGACCAGGTGAAATTTTCTTGCAAAAATTAAAAACACATTTTTCCAGTTTTTCCTTTATCAGAGTGAACCAATGACCAACTAAATGACGAAGAGCGTTGGTTGGTTTCGAAACACAATCCCCAATCCTAAAAAACAGGCTGTAGTCGGTCGTCCATTTTTACAATGCACCACGCAAACCGGTTGGTGTCTTGCTTGGTGCGGTAAAGCGGCTGATTGGAAGATCGTTTAAAGGAATGTTGCGAATGCAATCATTTATAGAAGTAGAATAGTAATAACAAATGAAGCAGGAGTCAAATATTGGTCGACTTTAATCAGCTAAGGGATTCATTGAACTGCGTTCGCTCGCTAAAAATGGGATTCTTCCAAACTAGCCCATGTGGCGATTTGAAATTCTTATAATCGTCAACAATCGGCACATAACTCGAAATCCTTGGAAAGTTTCATAAAAATTGCCCTAAATCCCGATTTTTGCCATCTCGGCATAAATCGGTTTAATATTGGGAGTAGCGACACAACTGCATTCCCTCCCAAAAAAATTCGGATTTTCCAAACTAGCGCAAGTAGAAA